CACTGAGTCTGCCCCTTGAGTGTGTCTCTTACGAAGGTGAAGAGTTGTGATCCATTATCATCTCCAAGGAGGTGCACGGTCAGCCACTGTCTGGGGCCGCCCAGCAGGAGCTACAGAGACACCTGCAGATTCCTCCTCTTTGTATGGAGTTTGGAAGTCCCCAGCTGTGACGCAAGGCTGCTGCTGCTACCAGGTATTGGGCCTTCTTTTGGAATCTCTGGGGCTCTCTGACCCAGCTGCAGTTTGTTTTAGTCGAAAGGACAGGCAATTCATATGCAAAAGCCAATTCACACAGCTTGGGTGGGGTTTAAATTGGGCGGGGCAGGGTCTCTGGGGATCACCAGTTCAGAGCAAACAGCAATGGCTTCCCTGAACCGGAGAAATCCCTGGTTCTCCGATCTGAGCACCCATGCAGGAACAATGATTACTTCGAGCACCTCTAAGAGTAAGCCGCCCTCACATTCCTGTCCCAATGCCAGACAGTCCAGTTATTTCCCGTATGTGTCTGGGTCCCCCAGATTCTCGCCTGTAACTGGAATTCAGGGCAAGCGGGAGCTTGTATCTCCCTCGGGGTTTAAAGAACAGCACATCCAGGTGCCAGCATTTTCCGCGCCTCCGCACCTCTTACCAGTCTCAACGTGCTTTCTTCACCTTTCTAGTTGTAGAATTTCCACTCAGCCAGCTTTCCCGTGGTTCTGGGTGGTAGTTGTTCTGCCGTTTAGTTGTAATTTTGGTGTGGTTGTGAGAGGCAACAAGTATAAGTGATTACCTATACCGCCATCTTCTCCCTCTCTCAAATAAACTCTTATAATAAATATTCTCTACAAATTTGGACATTTCTTACATCGACAGCACCATACATTAGGTCTCTAGATCTGGCCAGCGTTGCTCCCTGGTTAGAGTGTCACCCTGCACACCAAAGGGTCAAGGGTTCGATTCTGCATCAAGGGCACATACTTGGGTTACAGGTTCGATCCCCACCTCAGTTGGGGCACATGCGAGATGCAACCAATCGATGTGTCTCACATCAGTGTTTCTCTCTCTTTCTCCTCCTCCCTTCCACTCTCTCTGAAAAAGCAATAGAAAAAATGTCCTCAGGCATAAATGTCCTGGGGCATAAAGTCTAAATACTTAGCATAGAATTCAAGATACAATCGGAAGGAGTACCAACCTATTTGTGCTGATATCCTATCTCCTCAACTTCAAATAAGTAATTGCACCAAAGGCATGTAAAACTAGCCCTAGCTGGTTTGGCTCAATGGATAGAGCGTCAGCCTGCTGACTGAAGGGTCCCCGGTTCGCTTGTGGCCAAGGACACATGCCTGGGTTGCGCTCGGTCCCAGCGGGGGGTGTGCAGGAGGCAGCCAATCAATGATTCTCTCTCATCATTGATGTTTCTGTCTCTCTCTCCCTCTCCCTTCCTCTCTAAAGTCAATAAAATATATTTAAATAAATAAATAAATAAATAAATAAATAAAGGCATGTAAAACTAGTGGTGCTTCCCGAACATTCCTTATATCTGTACTGGCTCTTTAGTAGGGTACTACCACATGGGGTCTGTGGAAATCAACTCAAATGCGAAGTCCCTGTGAATTATCTCTTGACCACTCCAGGATGGAGTTCAGTCTCTCCTTCTCGCTGACACTTTCACGATAAAGGACAGTTTGTAGTTTCCTACCACATCGAACTTCTACTTCCCTTACTGTTAGTTATGCACAAATTCCTATCCTCACCCCACCCCAGGCGAGCTATAACTGAGGACAGATATACAGAGTCATCTTCATCTGCTCCCAAACCTCAACACAGTCCCGAGAAACTGGACAATATACTAGAACCTGCACCCCGCGTCCTCTGCACGCTCTACTTTAAACTGCACCTTGTACCTCTCGGGTCCTTGCTTATCAGGAGCTCCCCAGCAGTTTCCACCTGCGTGCCACCCAGTGACCCGCAGGAGCATAACCGCCCAGGGCCGCAGAGAGGTGCGGGGTGTTGGAGAGACGGGGTTTGACTTCACAACTTGCATCGGGGCTGTTGAGCGCAGAGTGGGCGCATCCACCCAGACCCCGAGAGTCCAAAGGAGAACACCCAGCCCCCCGGAGAGAAACAGAGCCCTGACTATGCGGACGATCTCAGCCGGAAGGCTCCACACCCGGAGACTGGGTGACTGTCAGCCGGAACTTGAGCTCTGTCTTTCCCACCAGGCGGGACGCTCCACAAGGCCCGGAGCGCAGTACACGTTTGTGAATGAATTTAAATGAAAGAACGTGTGTGGGCACGTCGTCGGCAACAGATAAAATGCGAGGCCCCGTTCAAAGGCCATAACCCAAGCAGGGCTTCCTGAGGCTGGAGACCCGACGGGGCTAAGGGGAAGGCCGGGGCTAAGGTCGGACACCGACCTGGGCCAACACCCGCGTCCCTTCTCTCGGACCGGTGAGGCTCAGCCGCCCGCGGCCCCCGCGCCTCTCACGCCCCCCGCGCGCCAGCCCCTCTCGCCCGCGTCTGCACCTTCATGCCCAGGACATCACGAAAGAAACGCGCCGTCTGGAAGCGGTTTCCCACTTTGAAGACGAAGTGCAGAGCTCGGCGGGTCTCCATGACCAGCAGCTCCACACACCCGTCCCGTACACTGTGCCGCTCCGCCCTCAGAGCCGCTCCGCCCCCAGACGACGCGAA